ATAGTATTTTCGCAATAATTTCTCATTGAAAGGAGACCTGTTCTTTTTTGTTCTTTTTGAATACCATCTTCTGCTTCTATCATTGCTTTTACTAACTTGTAGTCATTAACTGCATATAAAAGAACACATACAGCATGGTCTCCATCCCTACCAGCTCTTCCCGTCTCCTGATAATATTCCTCTAGAGATCGGGGCAATGAATAATGTATTACGAATCGCACGTCAGGCTTATCAATCCCTTTTATATGCAAAAAAAATTAATATTAATATTAATAAAAATTAATTCTTACAATATTAATTTATATGTGTGTGTGTCATAAAATTTTAAAAAATCCATATATAATTTTACCCATTCCAAAGGCAGTAGTCCCAGCAATAATTTGCAGCCTTCCAAATTGCCATTCATTTTGAATAATGATTTTTTCTGCTTTTTCTACGCCTGAATGATAATATTTTGCAGAAATTTCTGATTTTTGGAGATATTGTACAACTTTCTCACAATCTTTTTTGGTAATGCAATAAATAATACCTGATTTACCCTTATAACTCTCAACAAGTTTAACAAGATATTCCAATGCCTTATCACCACTACTGTCTTTCTCATGTACTTCATAGTATAAATTTTTTCTATTGAATCCTTGTTGTATGACCTTACATCTTTGAAACTAGAGTGACAACAAGTGGCGGGTGATAACCACCACCACCATTCTTAAAACACTTACTTAGCAACAGCCTCATCAGCATTGATTTGTTGTCTTCGCTTGTTTTTTTGTTTTTCCGTTCTAGACATATTTTTTTTGAAAAGAAAAAAAAGAAGTTTGACAAACGTGTACATTAATTATTTATCCTATTACTATTGGTTATTTTTTTGGTAGGACAGACGCGAATTGATTTTTTTTTTTAAAAAACAATTTACTTTTCAAAGATGACAAAACATGAGTGTTGTTTGGTTTATGGTTTGGTTTGGCCTCCTAAAGAAAACATGTTAATAACTAACCAGAGGTACTTTTTTTTATTTGTATTGATATAATATGGTATCTTTTTTAGTATATAATATTTTAATTTGAAATCAAAACGCAGAGCAGATCATTGTTGGGTAATTACAAGATTTTCATTGATAATGTTTTACTTTGCGTAATCAATAATATTAATAATATTAATATATTATTATATAATTACAAGAAGATGTCAAGGCAGCAAACCATTGAAAAAGTCACAATTCAAATATGAAACATTTGATATGAACGTTTGATTACAGGAAAATTTACAAGTGTTGAAGCATGCACGCTACCTTGAACACTTTACAGCCATTCTCACACATTCCTCATGTGCACAAGGCTAATCCGACCTGCGACGCCCAAGGATACAACGATGCTACCAAATTCCAGATGGGGGTGGCATGGTCCTGGAATTTACCAAGACTGCACCAACGTCAATGACACTTTCACTAATCTTCCCTCACAGCACCCAGACCAGAGAAGGCTGCTGGCACGCTGGCCGAAGTTGCCTGCAACAATCCTACCTCTAGGGCAAGGATGGCACTGTGACCAAGTTGCAACTCTGCTGATGAATTGTAGTGCCATGTAAATATCCAGATCTATCAAAGCAACAAGAACCTGCAACTTGTTTCAAGCACAGGAGGTCGCAGTTCAGAGCAGGGTTGTGTGCCCCTGAAATTGCATTTGGACTCTGATGTTAAGGGGGAAGTTGTAAAATAGTGTTTGTTTTGTATAATCACTTTCCTAAACGCTCTGTTTCTCTAATATTAACTAACAAATTTATAATTTTGGGTAGGGGACTATATGGGTTTTTGCCCAATCAGTCCTCTGTCCTGTAGGTTAAAATTATTGTATGATTATATACATCTTTGCTAGCAATGTGACCAACAAGAAAAAAGTTATAAAATGGTTTGGATTTTGTTTGGTATATTATATAAATTAATCATTTTCCCAAATACTCTGTTTCTTTAATTTTTATTTGACCAATTGAATTTGTTTTTTAAATGGGAGTAGGTTGTTGGTGAGCAGATGTACCACCAACAAGACACAACCCAGGACTCAACTCTGAATTCAGGGAAAATCCAAAACAGCAACTTATGTTGTAACCTTCTAAATTGCAGACACCAAAGACACCAACTTTACTCCAGAGGGAGTCTTATGGTAACAACCAAGCCTGGTCTGAGGGGAAGATAAGGGAATGTTTTGTCCAAAGCCTTCCAGCTATGGGTACCTTCACCTGTGGAATAAATAAATTCTACAGTTATGAAGAGTGTGAAAGCACCTGACCATTTGTTTGTGATAGGAAATTTTTTAATTAAATCTGACACCTGCAATCAACATCAGATTTATTATTCATGGTTTTTTAAGGAACTTTAGAATGGTGAAGGAAAAAATTATTTTTGAACCTCCCTATTTATTTATTCTTGTGAACCCCAGAGATCTGGGTAGACATGCATTATTAAAAGTTTCATTTATGCATGG